AATTTATTATATAATTAAGTCTAATTAAATTATTTCAAATCTATATCTAATTAAATTTTTTAGATACTTCAACAAAAGCATATTCTTCATGTATTGAGAATAAAACTTTTAAATAATTTTGCTGAAAAAGTCTCGATGTGTAATTAAGTTTTTTTAAAATAAATTTTGTAGAATCGAATGAACGAAATTTATCAGCCGATGGATACGATACAACAGTATCTAGAACACTTCAGTCAATACAGGAAAGCCACAGGAGTAATTTAAAGGAAGCCATCGTAGTGACTTTGGGCCGCATTATTTATTTCACAACGTTAACGGCGAAATCGATTGAGAACTCTACAGATCCCGCTAATATTTATTATATTATGATCTGCGCGTATTTATAACGATGTCACTATTTTTCGAATTATTTGCTCATGTTAATTTTATTACCAGAGATTTGTATTATATATTATTTATATATATAATTAATAAAAATTTTTTTAGAATAGTAATTTGCATGCAAAATGATATCTAAATATCTTCAAAATAATCGAGATTTTCGTCAATTCAACTCTTTATTTTATTTCCGTATGCGTTATTTTATTTCAATTTTCCTCTTCTATTTTCAATTATTTTTTTATAAACGAACTGTAAAAAAATTGAGTATTCTATATTTAATTTAATTTCTAACGTATAACTTAATTAGTATTATATTATTTCGGAAATTATAGAGATTCCAAAAATACATTTTGCAAAATCAGTTTGTTTTGTATAATGTGACACGATGCGCTATCTATGAGAGAACTCGAGAAACTCTAATGGAGCAGCCACACGCAATTGATAAAATATTATATTATAAAGCCAATAAAGTAATCTATTGTCATTTATCGGTAAAGTTAACTTTATCAACTGTGACAACACTTTAAAAATAAATATTGTTTCTAACAAAATACATTTTTATTGTACATGTTTTTGTACATTTTTTTGTCGCGTTTTTGTATTCTTCGACACACAATGTATGCGTTATAATCTTTTGAAATTATTTCTTAATTACAAATAGCTAAAAAAAATAGCCTATTCAATAATGTTTGACAATAGAATATTATTACCATAATATTACCATAAAGTCTATTACCATAAATTTAATTGCAGTTTATATTAAAGTACAAATACATAAATTTGCCTAATAATGTCAATAATATTAATTTTAGTATTCATTTATGCATGATGATATTGCGTTATTTTTCAGATTAAAGTTCTACTTTTGGTGACAATGAGGACTTTAACCTAAAAATGACGTGCCTCACATTTTCAATAAAAACTAATAACACCATCGTATTCAGCAGATAGAAATGTATAAGATTCACTATGTTTTTTACATTTCTCAAAAGTTAATCTTTTTTTAACATTGTTCTTTTTTTTCCTAGTGTAGAATCAGTGTTCACAAGGTAGTTCAAAGGTCTACCTATGCAATTACGAATTAAGTAAATTAAGATCATTAGATGACTTGGAATTTTCAGTTTTATGCAATAATTATTTCCATGAAGAAACATCATAATTAAACACACATACACAAACAAAACTTTAATTATATTTCCTTACATTATTATTAATCCCAAATGCTTTTTTAAATATAATATTATAATTTAATTGTAATCTTTGAATACAATTAAGTTATAATGTTATAATTAAAAAAAATTTTAGATTAATAATAATAAATTTTGTATAATGTGTACAAACCGAAGATGTATATCCGGTTATTGGGACCGTTTATCTCATGATGATAAATCGATAAATATTCTAAATCGAAATTATGTATATATACAATATATTAATAATAATACGCTATATGTTATAATTATCACGTTTTGCGTACGTGATTATATAAAGATCACGCCATGCGCAAACAGAAGAAAGATAATAATGTTTAAATATAAATAAAAAATATAAACAGAATATTTATCCACATTCTTTTTATGGCTTTTTTTTATGTATGTAATTACGTGAAAATGTCGTATCATTCCGTGAATGAATTATGCATACCGTAATGAAACTATGTAAATTTTGTACTCATAAACATGTGAATCAAATAATTTATTTTTGCATGCGCGATCCGGATCGGCGATAATTGCATTTGTTATACAAGCTGGCGATAATTTGATTACCAAAATTGTTAATTTTATTTTTCTCGACGACACGCGGGTTATCGCCGCGTCTCATTTATCGGATTTTTGGAAGAAACAAACGGAATATTGATGGTCATCGAAAAAAAATGGGCCGCGCGGAATCACGTGACTGTGAATGCGACGCCATGCGACGCTAACCGCAGGAAGTTGCTCCAGACTGAAAACCGAACAACTAGAACTAACCGGAGCAACGGCGGTGAGACTAGTGAGACTAAAAGAAGTGCGACCGCGGTGCGAAAGGACAGTGTTCTCTACGCGTGAGAGTTGTCTGCATCGACGAAAATGGAGGTAAAAATTCGTGAAATCGCCATAATGCGAAGGATTCGACAACTGCACTTATCATGTTTTCTACTTTCAGATCGAAATACTGTCGACGAAATCGTCGAAGATGATAGCCAACGTGAATGTAAGTAAAGCACAATAACTGTAAAATCGGATAATCAATTGAAATTTAAAGGGAATATGATAATTCGAAATTCGAACGATTGTTTTTTGAAAGGGACCTTTTTATTACATGACGTGTATCTTGTAGGTAAATGCAAACACTACGATAGGCGAAGTGAAACAGGAGTTGTATAAATTAAAAAAGGCAGCAAACGTCAATAGGCAGAGTCTGAGATTGGATGCTAAGGGAAAATCATTGTCCGACTCAGAGACAATTAAATCCCTGTCGCTGAAAACGGGCGGAAAGTTGTATTATAAGGATCTCGGTCCTCAGATTGGTTGGAAGACTGTATTCCTATTGGAGTATGCAGGACCTCTGGTGATGTATCTTTGGTTGTATCAACGTCCCTGGCTGTTTTATGGAAATGTGGATACCAGTAATTTTCACTATATAGCTAAGTAAGTCACTGTAATTATATAACATTATTAAAATTATAATCTATCATTAATATATAATGTATATATTTTATATAAGTATTTCTTTTGTTGTACTTAATTATTTATACATAAGCAATTTTTTTTCTTTTTCAGGTGTGCAGCAGGTGCCTGGTCGATACATTATGTTAAGCGTCTCTTAGAGACTATATTTGTTCATCGTTTTAGTCATGCAACAATGCCATTGCGTAACCTATTCAAAAATTGCTCCTACTATTGGCTTTTTGCTATGTATGTGGCATATCACACAAATCATCCATTATACACAGCTCCTTCCAAGTTTCAATTCCACATTGGATCGATAATATTTGTGCTGTGCGAGTTGGGCAATCTCAGTATCCACTTAGCTCTGAGGAATTTGAGACCATCAGGCACTACAGTCAGGAAAGTCCCGATGCCGACCAAGAATCCTTTCACCGCACTCTTCTTACTTGTCTCCTGTCCTAATTATACATATGAGATAGGCAGTTGGATCGGTTTTACTGTAATGACATCATGTCTTCCAGGTACGCTTATCCAGCTGAAATTTTATGCATGATTATTTAATCTTTAACATCGAATGCAAATGAAATGATTATATGAATCTATGTTTTAATTTTCAGCTGGTCTGTTCACGCTTGCCGGTGCATATCAAATGACCGTGTGGGCACTAGGCAAGCACAAGGCATACAAGAAAGAATTCTCGCATTATCCGAAAAACCGCAAAGCCATTATTCCGTTCATTCTTTAAATTAAGGCATTTATTTACAAAATATCGGTGATACAATGTTGATTTTACTTTGTTTCTGTTTTTTTTTTTTTGTTTTTTTTTTTTGTTGAAGGAATATTAAGCTTAGCAATTATGACAAACATGTGATCAATAATAGTGTCAATTTCTAGTAAAAAATGAAATTTCTAAAAAACAACAAAAGATATATAATATATATCTTAATATATATTATAAGATATATAATATATATATATAAGCAT